AACAACTCCTGTAGAAGCCAACAGCTTCAGCATCTATTTGAACAAGAGACAAATCTTGAAAATTTATAATGCACAAGCTGTCAGTTTAAGTGACAAGAAAGTACTAGAGTCTAATAAGTCATGCAACACAGATATAGTAGACAGGAAGAGAAAAAAAAAAAAGCATACCAGAAAAAACCTCGCAAAGCTACAATAAGAAAAGATGACCACAGCAATAAAAAAATCGAATTCTTACTTCAAGTGAATACATTGCCTCTACCTTCAGCATCCATGAAACAAAGAGTGACTCGCCGTAAGTACGATGGAAATAACTGCTTCACGTGTGGAGTTAAGTTGGTAATACTCATTGGCTAGATTTGCACAAAGAAACTGGAGAAAGCAGCAATTAAACAACAACAACAAACCTTTCTTCTCTTACCAAAAAGATATTATATAGATCAATTCCAAAAGCGTCTTCAAATCTCCAGTGCCAAGCTTCATAATCATGGTGCTTAAAATTGATCAAAATATCACTAAGTGCATCATCCACAGCACCAGACTGCCAAGTTTCCTCATTGAGAAACCTGACAATCTCCAAATGTGTCTTTTTTGTAAGGATGATCTCAGCATCATAATGGATGTGGCCCACATCTTCCTCAGGCTGAATTAATAGCAAAGCAAAACAATGGTTAAAAGCTGCTTATTTGGAAATAGAAGTACACACAAAAAAACTCAAATCCCTATCAAAAACCTCATCATATACCTTCATTATGTACCAGCATCTTTTCGAAGCAGACTGCAGGATGAAGACATGGGACAGGGAACACACTATGATTCTAGAACCTTTTTGTTAATTCTTCTAAACTATATAAAACACTAATTCAACTGGTTTGCACTCTTTCAATTCTACAGCAAAAACCTAAAAAAACAAAGTGAGTTATCCCACCTATTATTAAAATTTTAGAACCACTTCTCATTAACAAGTAATAATTAGTAACGCGCTATGTGTGCCCCGATCATGGCTGGGTAATACAGATAGAAGCTATTAAATACTGAAATAAGAAATTTTACATTGCTAAGTATAATGTTCTTTGTTAAATATTAATATTGCTTATTGCTAGAAATGTGTTTCTCTACCTCTGAATAAAAAAAATAAAAATCTCAGAAGACAATATAATAAAGTAATAAGGTGATTCTTACATGCAAACTCTAATAAGCTACTATTCCTAGATGGTTAACATGGTAGAGTCTAAAACAAAGGCCTAAAAGGTCTACAACAAACAAACAAAATCCGTCTCTTTCAAGTTTAACCACCATTAACATGAACTGAACAGGGTATTACTACAGCTGCATCCCAGCAATAGGTATTTAGATACATACTCTGAATTCACATAGTCTTTCTTTGGATGCTTTACAGACCAAATGGCAACTGTTTCTCCAGAGCAAACACCGCTAACTAACCGCAATACTGGATGCACATACTTCTATCATTCTTTCCTTTGCAATTCAGTTCCCTTCATTTTGATTTAAATTTTAAGTATGCCAGAATAATTAATCAATACTTGATAACTGTGAAAAACACATAAAATAGTAATATGAATTCTAATTAATTTTTAATGACCATTCAAATACTTACAAGGCCAAGTTTTCCAGCTTCATTTAAAATCTTATTCAAGTATCGCTTCAAAATATAAAAGCTACGGCTTTCACGTGATTTGGCATTCCTCTTCTCACATTCTGCAATCTGCAACGTAAAGACATTTTGTTCACTTCTTGCTCAAACCAGCTTGTTCCCAGGAGAAAAACAACCCTACCAACACATTAAACTCAGGATTAATGGAGGCACACTTCTTTAGTTCAGCAATAATCCCATGATTAGTACACCAGATAAAAAGCGTATGCAGTTGCTAAAGACACTGCTTTCCATGGGACTGGCCAGTACTGGAGATTTCAAATCTCTAGTAATATGGTTTGAATACTAACCTCAGTAAGACTAGAAAAAACTAAAGATGTGGCTCTCCTTCTTAAGTTTTAAGCTTACACCAGAAAAAAAAATGAGAGAACTGTAAAAAATACTAACTAACTAAACCAACATTAAAATGACATATCCCACTGGGTCTCCAAATGGCTGAGGGAAGCGAGAGCCCCGGTAGCTACACAAGCGTCACCGCGTCCTCCTGATCTCAGAGAAAGTAGCGGGGCGGGGGGCTTACAGCAGCTTCTTCCGAGAGCTGCAGTGCCACACATTACGGTCAGCCACAAACACGTTCTCTATGCCCACGACCCACCCCTTAAAATCCAGCAGAACTGAACAACTTGAAAATGAAAGGTCAGGTTTCTTAGCTTTTAGCAGCATAGTGTAACATCAACACCGCACGTTTAAACTGTTGACACTGGACAGAAGCACAAAGCTCCTATCAACTTCTGTTACACTATAAACCATTTTAGGAAACAGACCTTGGTAGGCAGAGCAGCAATTCGGAATTGAGTTCAAACCACTTCCAGTCTCTCCTCTGAATAAAAAGGTTCCCCTTACATCATGCATGGTCTCTCACAAATTATGCCAGCAATTCACCTGTTCTATACTATCCAGAAAAGCATCATCAGAAAGTACAAACTATAAAAGGCTGGAAAAAATTCTGGAGTTCCATAACAAACCTTCTGTTGCAAGGAATCTACTTCCCTGGAACAACTCGCTAAGATTTCAGCACTGACTGTATCCACAGCCTTATCCTCAGAGTCATGATAGTTTGCCTACAATTGCATCAGAAAAACACATATTTTTAGAATCAAAGAATTTGGTCAATATGCCATGTTACACTTCTATAGTCAGAGCATTTCAAAAGGCACAAAGGAGCTAAAAACTGTTCATCTTTGCTGCTAATACTCTCCCAACAATACTCCAGTTGCCTCTCTGCTGTTATTTTAGGCTCCAAACAGACAATTGCTTTATCTAAATGCACACTGCCTTCAGAAGGTGAGGACTTGCCGTTTCCTCCCCCACCTGCTCTTTCCCCTCCTCTGAGCGTGGGGGAGCCATGCAGTGCATCAGATTAGATAACGAGACTGGCTAAAAACCGACTCAGCAGGCAAAGGGGCGGTTTTCGGCCAGACAAACTCACAGTCCAGCTGGCCATGCAGCCAGGCAGACTGAAAGTAAACACGAAGCCCCACTCTTAGTTGCAGGCCCTTCCTTTCATGTTCCCTCTTCACTCTGAAACAACTTCCCATTTTTTCTGCTAATTGCTCAGACTTAGTTTTAAGCAGTGCTTCTTCTACACAACCAGGCATGCACATTGAGGAAAGTCTCCCGAAATCGCAACATCGCACAGATCAGTGAACTCATGTTGATACAAAGTTTGGTTTTGAGGACTTGAGTGGCCCACACAGCCCACCTACCTACAAATCTCTCACTGCAGAGCAGAAAAGAAATCCTGAAAAGATAGATTAACCCCTAGCAATCATTATTCTCCTTTAAGATGCAGTTCTATTTTTGTGGGAGAAAACAGTAAAACTCCTAATATTTATTTTATAAAAGCAGAAGCAGTTGGGCACCAAGTTTAAAGACTCCAAAGCTTGCTGCAGAATTTTAGGGCTGCTAATGACTATCAGGTGGACTTAGGGAAGGTAGAGGCTGAGGAGGAACTCTGTGGAGAGGAACAATGCAGTTTGCATTTTTTAAGCTTCAGAAAATTATGTCTGAAGCGTTAAAATGGTATTATTCAAGACCGCAAAACCAAACTTGAAAGCTGAATAATGACAAAAGTCAAGGGTGCCCACACAACCAACCACAGTTTACAGTGCCATGTGTGCACATATGTACTAGATAAACAATATGCATCTCATGATATATGTAGAGTCCACCCCTCATACAAGACAACCGAGATGATTCGCCTTATTAAATCTAGCTTTTCATATTTCACCTTCTCCTCAGTGTTCATGAATTATTAACAGTACAGCTCTCAATCCCTATTCTGATCTTCCTTCTGAAAACTCTGATGCCCAGCATTACAAAACACCATTGACTTTCATAATATTCTCACACAATAAATGTTATTAACTCCCCCAACTTTTATCAGCTAGGAACTTAATTTTCAAGATATTTAACACTATGCTGGAGAAACCAGCAAGAGCTGCTTAACCCAGTACTTCTCAGAGAAATAACTTGAGGAGCCACAAGTTGTGTAAATCAACCACCACCTGTGAAAAGACAAAAAGCACAGTTCTGCGACTTGATCAGTGTGCAACAGAAGCTCACCAGTAAAAGGCCCCAAGCTAGTTATCTGCAATAATACAGATCCCTATTTTTTTCTTGCAATTTTAACAACGGACACACAACACTTTTCTGTGTATAGATTCAGATGTAAGTTTTTAAGACCTTAAAAAGACCATTTTCTAATGTCACAATTTAAGGGCTATCTTTCAACAGCATGTGGCTGAAGGACTGTTTGGGAGAGATGTATTCATGCACCCCTTCTTCTTCTACCTTGTAAGGTCTTCTCATTGTTCCTGATGCTGCATCGTAATTGAGCATATCCGTGGGGTCAATCCATTCATCATCGTGAACTTTACCACTCTCTATTAGCACAGCTGCATACAATACCAAAAGAAACAGCATCCTGTATCACTAAATACAAAAAGAAATTCAGATATGTAGTTCAGAGTGTAACATGCTGTACAAAAAACCCGGCAATAATCTTACAACATGAAAAAGGTATTCTCCAGTGTTGTTTAAAAACTCAGTTCTCTATTAAGCAGGTTAAATTTCACTTATATATATTTTTTTTTCTCCTTAAGAAAACACTGGCAAGAATATGCAACAATTAAAGTGTATGATATAACCGGATCAATGCAACTAGCTGTAGTTATCAGCAGATGTAGGGCAGAGTTCAGCATTGCTAAACACAATAAAACAGTGCAGAACTACCCCAGGCTTCGAGACAAGGGTCCAGCATCATTATCACTACAGAAATTCCCACAGCGAGGATTGCAAAGGCCGTGAGGATACGGCTGCCCTGCGCGGGCGGGAGCCACGGCGCCGTCACCTCGGCGCTGCTC